TATATATATATATATATATATATATATATATGTATGTATGCAAGTGTAAGAATAATTATCTCGATTGTAACAAAACTGAAATATGTACTACTTTTATACAATAATTACTGACTTATTTATCGTTTATAAATAAATGGACATTTTTTAAATGTATTTTATAGAAATTATTAATTTTGTAAGAATATTTTTGTAAATATGAAAGATATTTTAATTTTTTTAGTTTATTACTTTATTCAGTAACAAACAGTATAAAAAAAAAGCCCACACTTAAATGATCACATAAAATTATATATCACGATGGACTGGATAACTCTTATACTGTTGAAAATGTAATGCATGAAAGGACATGTATAAAGTGTGATGATAATTACATTGATGAAACCGGTCGTCCAGTACATGAATGTTTTTAGGATCACATCCATGCCACCACGAATCTTGATTCTAAAGAGGCAACTTCTAAATACTTTCTAACAAAACATGACACAGTAGATAAAACACCATTTAATATTAAGTTCTCAGCAAAATGTAATAGTTTCCTTGATCATAAATTCAAAGAGTCTCCCCTGAATTGAATCTTATGAACCTGAAATACACAGAAATAATTCTTGGCCTTGGTAATTATTGTTATTATTTTTTGTTTGATAGCTTGCAGTTTACTGTCCCTTAGTCTTCTGAATTCCTTTTAACATGCATGCAATAACACTCGAAATTACTATTGTTAAGTCAGTTTTTAATTGTTGAATGTGTTCTTTTCAGTTGTTAGTTTGTATTTGTATATGAAGTTATAACCCTTGAAAAAGGCTTAAGTTGAAATGTCAGGTATGAATAAAATTTTTTTTTTTGAGTGTGGTTAATAAATTTTTGTAAACATGGTTTCGATCCTCCAGGCTGTTCTGCTGAGTTTAAAACTGATATGTTTTATACATCATGATTTTATTATGATATCAGTTAGTACAGATAAAAATGTTTACTTTCAAAAATATTTCATTAAATTCTCTATCTAAAAATATTTCTCCTTATGAAAATCAGTTATTTCCACACAAATTATTTCAGCTATTGTGCTATCTAGAGGACTTTAGGCAAAGCAGAGAAGTCCAGGCCCACAAAAACAAGAGGTTCATGGTTCTCATATGCAGGTTTGGTAGTAGGGCCACAAAGAATGAGACATGACATATTTCACACACAATACAAATAATTAATAAAAGTCATCAAACTTTACAGTACAAATAATAATACCTTTTGGTATTACAAGGCAACACCACAGATTACAACAGGGCAAGTGATTGTGTAGTTGTAACAAAAAAACAGTGTGGTTAATTGAAGTGTAAAAGACTTTTGTAAACAAAAAGCTCCTGCTAGCATGTTTTCTTTCCTCGTAGCCTAGACTAGGATACAACTAAGTCTTACCCTAATAGAGAGTGTGTCCAAGATAAAATAAATCTAAAGAGCCAACTCTTAATACAAAAAGCGAAAAATGTTAGATATTATAAACAAACTCATTGTTTGCTTGCAGGCAAACTTACTCTCTTACTCAAAAACTTAAGCACTTGTTTTTACTTATATCCTTATATCTGGAAAAAGAACTTGCTTGATTTTATTAGTTCTTTAGACAATACTAAATCCTCTATCATCATACTGTGCAACCAACAACTGTGCAAAGATGCTTTTCATTTGTTTTCTCCAAATATTTCAATGCATACTAATGTAAGATAACTTGCAAATTCACCTTGGTTAAGATAGGTAAAATAAAAATTATTAAAAATGATTCAAGAAACCTAACCTTAGACAAAATTATAAATGAGAATTGTATGGTTTATATTCTAACTAAGTATTATTATAAGCTAACTCCAACTAGAAAATTCCTTGCTGATAAATGTTTCAAATAGATAAATGTGTACTTATTGGTTTTTAGAGAAAACATCTTAAGTGGGTTCTAATTGAACTAATAAAAGAATTATTTGAATGAACCAGTTGGTTATGAACTAGATCAATTTTCCAATTGGACTTATAATAAAAATATTTTAGGAAGAAAGGTTGTATTTTAACTTCTCTTGTAAAATTTTACCTTGTTTAGAATTAATACACAAAAGAGATTAATGTAATAACTTTCATTATCTGCCTGCACCAAATATTTTCTGGAATATGCAGTGCCAGATTTAGAGGGGGGTGTTACACATGCAATTGCATGGGAGCCTCAAACCCCAATGTAGAGGGTCTCAATTTTGAATCACTCTAGGAAGGGGCTTCCAGCATTGCATTACTGCATTGAGGGGGGGGGGTCTCAAAGAGTCTAAATTTGGCCCTGGAAATGTATTATATATTTACTATAGTACATAATCACTTCTTTGTTGGCTTACCAATACTCAGTGTTTTCTTAGATAATGAACAGCCAAATAGTATACTATTTAATGCTTTCACAATATCTTAATATTTTCATTTTGAGTTTATTTGCTGATTAAGTATTGTTTCATTACAAGTTACAGCTGTTACAGCAAGGAAAATTACTTGTTAGAACAGGTATGACATTTCAATCACGGGTGCGATCAATTTCAAGTACACAAGTTTGTACCGTTCTAAAAATAATCTTGATTACTGTAAAAACTGTAACTTGCAACAGAATAATATCTTAACATATTCAAATAAATCAAAGTTAATTTTAACTAGAAAGTTAAGAAAATATCATAGTCCCAAACATTCTTCCCTAATGAAAGAGAACAAAAGTATGTGCACAAATAAAAACTATAAAAACTTTCACACCTACATACACAAACAGATAAAGCAAAACTAAGTGGCATACATTGTCCTAATCCAAGTTATGTTGACAAGATCTTGTACTTACACAAAGATTCAGACTGAATTAGTAAATGTACCATTATATATTTCTTCATCAAAATGTGTTATATCATATATCTTAATTTTTTAAAAAAGGTGAAAATCATAAGTAATATATAGCTTCAAGCACTTCCTGGTTGTGAAATAATTTAAAGATGACTGCACAAACAAAAAAAAACTTCATCACAAAAAGAAGATGAGTAAAAAAAAAGCTTCATTGGTTAGCATTCAATATTCAACATACATGCAAGGTTGTTGATATTTTTATTTTGTTCTTCAGGTACATATGATACTAGTGATTGTGTCCAAAGATTCAGATGATTACTATTACTATTCTTATTTTTATAAGGTTAAAAATATGCCAAACCTTAATATGCTTCCCATTATGAATCAGAATGTATACATAAAGACCTTAGCAAAAAGATAAACACAAAGAAACTTAATATAATCACTTAGGTGCAAGTCTTAAAAATCAGAGTATGATAATAAAGCAAAGCATCAACAACTTTATTTTCCTATCTAGTAAGATATTACAAATGAAAAAATTAATTTAAAATAATGTCACGTAGCATGATGGATTACTCAAAATTATAATTAAATTGATTAAAGTCATGAAATAATCAACTAATCAAAATTAGTGTTTCCAGTTATTCTAACTATCTAAGTGATAGAAATATTGTCATTACGATTTATCATTATTATCTTTGACTAATTAAAAGTTATTCAACTTAATTGATTAGTGTCATAATTCAACAAAATAATTAACTAATCAAAATTGGTATTTCTAATTATTACCATCTTTGATTATTTCACCAATCCAAAAGTCTCATGTGAGAATAATCAATGTGTTGAATGTAATTCATTAATGAATCAGAAAATCATGTGAGAATAATCAATGTGTTGCATGTAATTCATTAATAATGAGTCAGAAAATCATGTGAGAATAATCAATTTGTTGAATGTGTTTCAGTAATGAGTCAGACAATCAACTATCAAATTCCACTAATCACCTAGCTCTACATGCAATTGTGCTTCTCATCAAACAATTAATATATTTACTCTTTATGGTTTTCTTTATGTTTCATGTTCAACCTAATTTAACACATTGTTTACTAATTAATTATATATAAATTAGATACACACACAGGATGATTTTGTCAATATAACAATTTGTATAACTAAAATTCAAATGTATCAAGAAAATATATCTGCACATTTAACATGAAACTGATCAACTCCTAATCAAACTAAGAAAAACACTGATTCATCACAAATTCACCAATTTTTGTACATAAAATTAAGTAACCTTCACTAACAAGAAAAAATCTATAATTGTTAGTTTAGGGTAGTGAGAGCAACAACTTCTTTGGGGAAAGTCGATGAAAATGCTGTATCATATTAGCAAGCATGAAGTACATGTAATTCATGCTAAATATGCTTTGCACTTACCCAGTGTAGCATTTTCATGGACAAAATATTGTTCTAAGATAAACTGGTACAACTTTGTAACAGTCTTATTACATTTCTATAATATTTTGGGAATTTTCAGAGATAAATACAAGAAGCTAGCATATACACAAAAAACTGTTATGCATTAGAATAACTTTTATGAATTAAAGCTAAATGAAAATTAACTGTTACAAAGTAATCAAGTTTAATTTTCTGTAAAATATTATAAACCAACCTTAGTGTAATGAGTTATTAGAGCATTTTCACTCATGCGCCCTCTAAAATATGCAGGTGTGATAACCAAGACTGCATCAGCTCCTGCTTCTGCCATCTTCTTTGTCATATCAATCGTTGATTTTGTGGCTAATTAACAACCAAGCATATTTATCACAATTATTTCTATATAATTTGTAGCTATGTGAAATATATAAAAAGAGGAACAATGCTTAAAGGTTCATAACCAAAAAGAAAAGCTTTGCACAATTCAAGATTTTATTTCATATAAAAACATACTTGTAATTTTTTTTTGCCTCTGAACAGGCTCCAGAAGAAGTTAAACACAGAAATTTCTCCATGTTCAAGTCCAACCTCTTCCCAACTTAATAAGCAAAATACTACATAACAATAAGAAATTAATCAGGTATTAAATTTATCACTGATTGATCCAGCCAAATGACATTCTTTATCTATTTAAGATAAAAGAATCATCTCAATTCTCCTTAAGAATAAGTTAATTGGGATGCTCAATGGTAAATAACTCAAAAGTTATTACAAACATTAAAGCATCTATAAACTAATCTTATTACATTACATAACCAATATTAACATTTTTTCTACCTGAAAATTTATTTCTGATAGATACTTACCTTTTTGCACATAGTAGCTGTTCCTTGCAAAGCTACCTTTGAGATTTTGCACATGCCAATAACTTTGAGCCATCTCACACTTTAGTACATGATGTAATCATTGTGTGACAGTAGCCTTCCACCAATAGAAGGGCAACACACCCTCCACATGCAGTAGATCCCCATAAGCACTTGCACTTAAAATTAACTTCATTCTTAGATGAGGCAAAAAATAATGAGCACCAGTAATGAGAAAGAATGCTGGGAAGGTTTGCAGAGACGTACGTATCTATCAGAAATAAATTTTGGGGTAAGGAAAATGTTACCTTCCAAAATGATATGCTTACCTCTCTGTAAACAGTGGCTATAATCCCACACTGATGTGGTAGAAGGGCTGTTGCAATTGCAAAGATGACTGAAAGGGAAAGCCTATGGAATGTAACACCCAATAGAAGGGTTTTATTAAAGGGGTAACACTCTTGGGAGACCACATCTATCTCAGGGAATACTCTTCATCCAGATGGAAATATTAAAGGAAGGCCAAATGAGCCATTGTGATGTAGAGATGGGTGGAAAAAGACATGTTCAACTGAGCATTTGCAGTCAACAGGTCAGTTGGACATGAGGTGTAGTGTGGCAAGGGCAATGATGAGACCCTACAGTTTGGTATGTGTTCTGTTGTACAATTTCTCATTCTTAGGTACAGGAATGTATGTACATAAGAAGAACACTTTGTTCCACTTGGCTGGTAAAAGCACCAGATAATTGGTATATTACATTAAAGAGGATAACCAACATTCGACTAACATAAACAACCCTTCTCTATTTCACACCTGGACTATCTCTGGAAGTATCACACAACCAGGAAGGAACTCTCCAAATTGACCACCCCAGCAGCTAGGAATTGGGAGTAACAAGGGTCTTTCCTACTCCACCCCAAGACTAGGAGGGAGTAATTTGCATTGGGGAAACACCAAAGAGGTGCTCAGAGCCAATTGGACCTATCCACTGCAAAGGGCACTTTAGGAGGCAGGGAAGGTGGGATTAATGCTTTCAATTACCTCTGACTCATTGGGTAAAGGAAAGTAAATATATTCCAAGAGGCATCACTGTCCACTGGGTGGGTTCCAAAAGGAAAATGTAGGAACATCATAAACAGATAGGGAGATAAAAAAGGCACTTACCCATTAAAGATAGTGAGTAGCTTGGAAAATGGTGATTTGAGGGAGGCAATATATTAAGGGAGACAAAACTGCCATATATGGAGATAATGGTAGAATAAGATATTGGACATTGTTGAAATTCTGGCCTGGATAATCTCTTCCAAGAATCATTGAAAGTGCAAGGTTGGAAAGTAAATCAAGTGACAAATTTGATGTGATGAGACATGACAAAATGCGTGAGCATCTCCATTCAGGAAGAAATAGATAATACAGATAAGCCGATAAACCTATCTGGTAAGCATTAAAGACGCAAGATCCCTGGAAGAAGAGGGGTCCCATGGCAAGAATAAACAATTGCAGGAATCCTGAAATGGAAACATACATGCCAAGTAGCACCTGACCACTCAAACTGGACACAAAAGGCAATCAGGGTCAGTATGATCATAGATGGAAAACTTGCCCAGCCAACCCAGATAAGTAGGGAGACAGTAAGAAGTGGTAGAAGGATGAGAAATGGGAAGAGAGAGAGGCAGAAGGTTCACAAGGTCAAGGAACAGGAGTGGACTCCTGAGGTTGTGGGAGATGAGAAAAGGGAGGGCTGGTGTCAGGCAGCTTTGGCCCAAGTCTTCAAGGCATTAGGTACCCCGTATACTTTAGGGTAAAGAAAAGGAACCAGACAGGGGTCATGGAAGTTAGAATGGGGAAGATGAATGGTAGAGAGAAAAGCATCACATCCCAGAAGGTCCCAACAACAGAAGAGTCAACTAAGCATGAACAAGGCAGAAGACAAAACCCTGTCCAGAGTATTGGAAAGGACCAACTGTAGATCCCCAGAAACACTTGGGATCATGGTGTAGGGTTTCAGATAGGAGAAGAAGATGGCAAGAAAAATGAGCACTAGAGAGTGTTACTGGAGACAGGATGTTAGTCCCCCAAATGGATATAACAGATTCCAGGGATTAGAAAGCCATGGCAAAGCAATCTTGGAGTTGTAAAGGATGAGCCATCTCAAAGCTGGTTTAGGCAGCTAGTTTCCAATATTATCACTGGTTTTTCACTAGAAACATTGTTGGTTTGATGGTTTCAGTTGTAATATACTTACATGTATATATTAAGCATATAAGCCCACTGTTAAAACAATGTAATACATTTGGTTCTATTTACTATTTGTACCTATGATTTGACATTTTAGGTTATACCACAGAATACAAGAAATGGACTTGCATATGGTGTGATATATAACATGCAAGCCCAATAACAGAGAATACGAAAAAAGACTTGTCAAAATTATTTAATACATATAAATAAAGATACAAGAATGTTTAGTCTATAAATTAACATTTTCTTAAAGCAAAAATGTATTTCCAATAATACTTACCTCTACTCACACTACAGCTATTACTCAACTATTAGGGTTTCTTTTTTTGTTCATCTAAGCATTGGTCTGGTTATTTCTTGCTTGCTCCAGTCATTTATTCCCTACTTAATTGCCCTTGGTAATATCTGTTTCATGACACTCTCCACCCATGTCAATGTGCCCTTTATCTTGGTACTGTATATAAGCACCTCTTTCAGATAATATTGTCACTTTTTCGAGACTGACTCAATCCACAGTCTCTAATACTGGCTCTTAGGATGAAGTGTGGGAGAGTGTGAGTAAATATTACTGGAAATACATTTTTGGTTTAAGAGAATGTTAACCTCAAAAACATACTTACCTCTTCTCACTACCAGCTAGAATCCCATATTAACAAAGTGGAGGAGCTGGTGAGGGCATTATTCATTCAGAATGCATCTGCATAGATCGTGGTTGTGCCAATAGAAGATTAGCACCCTATTGGGGGAACTGCACTACATCCAGAACAGGTATGCTCTCCACCAGGAACCTAAATCATGCATTGTGCGTGGAATTTGACATGATCCATCATCACCACTGGCCATGCCCCAACCAGGTAACCAAGGTCCCACTGCTCAGGGTTGGAATTATGGGGCCATGGGCTCTAAATCCCACATTGTTGGCTAGAGAATTTGGACTGCAATATATATATATATATTTATGAGTGGATCCCTACCCTTAGCTAAAGAGTTATGGATTCTGAGCCACCGGAATCATGATAATAATGGAAGGGACACTGAAGTGGACAACACCCTCTCCTAAACCTGAAGAAGTCTGAAAGGCAAAGCCCCAAACTCGGAATTACAAGATCCTTTTCACCTTACTTAAACTGAGAAAGCAGAACTCATCTAGTCTGGAATCATGAATATAATCCTCACTCCCCAATCATGTGTGCAAGGGAAATTCCACTGAATTATGGGGAGGATGTGGAACAACTGTGCTCAACCAAGAACCCAGGATGGGACCACTCTGTGTTCGGAATTACAAGGAAACAATGGACTCTCTTCAATGAACAATGTATTGAGCCAGTATTAATCAAAAAGAAAGGCCACACTCAACCCAACCAGATAGCTGACTATCAATCTGAATCAATATTTCGAGTAGGTGACGCTCCTACTGATGTCTAGGCAAAGAACATCCAGGGTCCCGGTTAGGAGTGCCCCAAGTTCACCCTCTTCTCCAAGAGTGGAGGAAAGTCACTCAAACACTCTGGAAGAATAACCTCTGTCCAATACCCCAGTGACTGGAAACTAGGAGTGGTATGGACCTCCTATCTCCACTAGTAAAATATGGGGGTGGTAATGTGCATTGGGGAGTTCTGAGAAACAGTGCAATAGGTGAAAGAAGTTCCCTAAATTTTTAAAAGCAAACCGACCTGATTTATTCAATCCACTGATTGGCAAGGATGGGCAGGATCCCCTTATGCTTTACTCATGATAGTCCATGAGTGGCAGTCTAGCATAGTATAGTAATAGCACCCAGTCTGCTTCTAGGTGGTCTTATGGAACACCTCATTTCTACAGAGCTTGTTGCATCCTGTATAAAGTATATTGAATTAGTTGTGTCTAGTGCAGATTTGGTTTCATAAAAGCACACCCTTTGGACAACACTCGCCACATAGTGGGATCCTGTGAAAAATGAGGTAAGGGACCCTGAAAGGTAGTAATGAAAATACCCACCCCTGTATAATCTAGTGGAAGTGGTTTAGGTAGCCACAGGGGTTAGGAGAAAACCCTCAGATGAAGATACTGCCAGATCATGCAAATAATATGAGATAAAATTATTGGGAGAGATCCACTTACCATCCCGCACAATGTCCTCCAGCAGGCAATTCAACCAGGCCACTAAAGACATGGAAATGTGATGAATTTGATGAAATGTGACTCATCTAGTAGGATGATATGATGGGAATGGGCCCAATATAGAAGATCCAAGGTTTGAAAACAAAAAGACCTGTAC